CTGGGATTAGGGGTGTAAGATATCTCTATGGATCATAGGATCCATACAATGTAAGGGAAAGAAAAAAGACCTATCTCATTTGTTTATTGTAACTGTTTTCTGCCACCATGAACTGCTGCACCTCTGCATATGCCCTTCTGTCTGGGAGCCAGGCTGATTATGGACTGAAACCTCTATAAACTATGAGCTAAATAAATCTTTCCTCACTTAAAAATTTTTTTTTAAATGTATTTGGTTGTTATAGTGCTCGCTTCGGCAGCACATAAACTAAAATTGGTTGTTATAGGGTCTCACTATGCAGCTCAGACTCATAGTGATCCTCCTGTTTTCAGCCTCCCCAGCATTGGGGTTACAGGCATGTGCCACCACACCTGGATTCTGTGGCTGGCTCAGCCCACCCTGGGGACAGGGCTGGTGTGGCGTGTGGTGTCAGGGGTTCCAAGCACAGCCCCTGAGCTTGCCTAAGCTTGCCTAAGCAGGCGCTTTAGTCTGCTGAGCTATCTCATTGGCCCAAGCTTTCCTCTCAACTTGTGAGCGTTGTGTATGTTGACTCAGCAATGCGAAAAGTAACTGAAGACATCTGATAACTCAACTTCAAAGCAAATGACTGGACGTGGTGGTGAAAGGGAAAAACTGTATCAGCAAAACTGCTCTCAAAAAAAAAAACCAACTAGGTTTTGGGGGCCTTCCCATTAGCTCAGGTGTTTAAGTGCCTGCTGAAACAAAGCAGTGAGGCTCAGGGCTCAGGATGCTGTGGTTCAGTCCCCTCATCCTCAAGCCAAACCAGTAGTGAGACCCTGAACACCCTGTAGACCCTAGCCCCAAAAAAAAAAAAAAAAAAAAAAAAAGAGCCCAAAACTTTGTTATTCTGAAACTACCTAAAAAAAAATAAAGGGGCCAGGGAGATGGCTCAGTATAATAAGCACTTGCCTGGTAAGTGCAAGGGCCTGAGTTCAATCCCCGGGTCCGAAAAATAAATAAATAAATAAATAAATAAATAAATAAATAAATAACTTTGAAAAAGAAAAAAGAAACTACTTAGCTTTGTAACTGCATCATGGCTCTATAATTAACTTCTTGACCCTTACAACCACAAGAGTATATGGAACATGGGGCTGGTGAGATGGCTCAGTGGTCTAAAGCACCTACTTAGAACAAACTAAAAGCACAGGGACCACGGTTCAATCCCCCAGCACCACATGCCAGCCAGCCCCGCCCCCTGGTGGGCTGAGCTGGCCACACACACACACACACACACACACACATAAATAATTAAAAAAAAAAAGTATATGGAACATGGAGGATGTCAGATTGTACCAAGTTTTATGATCATTAATCTAGCCTTATTACCAATATTCTCACCCTGCCAGGTAATCAGAGAACTGCCAGGCTGCTCTGTCTTGCCTTCTGTACCTTCTGTGCATGCGTAGCATAAAAGTACTAGCCCACAAGTACCCAGTACGTGGCTTTGTTGTGGGAAACGATCCCAGCCAGGATCACCGCTCTGAAATAAAGCTGTTTGGGGCCGGGGAGATGGCTCAGTGGAATAAGCGCTTCCCTGGCAAGTGCAAGGGTCTGAGTTCAATCCCCGGTTCCGCAAAAAAAAGAAAAAAAAAATGAAATAAAGCTGTTCACTGCCACCTAACTTCCTCAGTCATTCTTTTCCCAGGCTCAGTTTTGCAAAAATAGTGGTACACACTTGTAACTCCAGCTAATCAAGAGTCTGAGGCACTCGGATTGTTTGAGGCCAGTCTGGGTTACATAGTGAGACCCTGTATCAAATAAAGCAAAAACAAGAACGAAACAGAGAACAAGAAAATTATTTGTTTTTTGGATTTTTTAAAAATTTTATTTATTTGTGTGTGTGTGTGTGTGTGTGTGGCCAGCTCAGCCTACCAGGAGGTGGGGCTGGTGCTGGGGGATTGAACCGCGGTCCCTGTGCTAAGTAGGTGCTTTAGACCACTGAGCCATCTCACCAGCCCAAGAAAATTATTTGAACAGACAGTTCTTCAGTGAAGATACCGTGGGTCTGCTAGACTGAGTGTTAATCTGCATTTATGATAATTAACCTGACAGAAACTTCAAAGTAAATAAATCTGATGCTGGCAAAAGAAGGAGGAGGAGGAAAAAGAGGAGGAGGAGGAAGATAAGGAGAAGAAAAGAGAGAAAGACGTCTTGGAAGCCAGGCATAATGCTAGCATTCCAGAGGTTGAGGCAGGAAGATTACAAGTTGGAGCCCAGTCTGGGCAACTTAATGTGAAAAGGGCACTGTAGCTCAGTGCAAAGGCTTAGGTTCAAACCTCTGGGCCACGAAAAGAGGGAGGAAAAAGGTATACCTTGGAATAGCCAGTAGGCACATGAGGATGGCCAACACTATTAATCGTTAGAGGAATGCAAAGAGATAACAACATTACCTATGGTGGCTAAAAGAAAAAGACAAGAATTAAGTAGGGTGTTGTAGCAAACATCTATAATCCTAGTATTTGGGAAGCAGAGGCAGGAGAACTGCAAGTTCAAGGCCAACTTGGACTACATAAGGAGACCTTGTCCCAAAACAAAACAGATATTAACAAATGGTCGTCATGAATATGGAAAAACTGGACCCCTCATACACACAACTAGAGGGAGTGTGAGATGGTGCAGCCTCTGACAAGATGAATGAGCGAGGACTCCCCAAGCCCCCAACTTGAAGATTACACTCTGGCTTCATTTATTTCATTTCCTCCCATCTCTAGCCTTGCCCTCTACATCTTTTTCCACCTTCTTCACGCTTTGCTTTGGGCAGAAAGCTGCCCTTCCTCTTCCCCAAGAGGCACACATCTTGTAAAGTACATACTTCCCACATGTGTAAACCAGAGCCTCACCTTTTCCTTCCCACTAGAAATGCCTCCTTCTCTTGGCACATCCGGAGCCTAGAGGTCTTTCACGGTTGTGTGTCTACTTCTGTCGGCTCTGGTGGCTCCAGGGTGCAGGGTGGGCAGAGGACTTGGTCTGGGAGCCCCTCCTGTGCAGCCCTCCCTTCCAACTGCACACCTGTGTGAGGCTGACTTTTCTTCATGTGCATGTCTGAAACACATCACAAGCTCAACACAGAAGCATATAAAAAGCCAGCTGCCTTCTATTCAGCCAAATGCTGACATGTTTGCAAAAATGGACAACTGCTGGGGGTAGGGGCGGCACCCATGCAGTCTCAGTACTTGGGAAGCTGAGGCAAGAGAATTTCAGTGGTGTAAGTGCATGCCTGGCAAGCTTCTGGGTTTGATCCTCAGTACCAATAAATAAATAAATAAATAAATAAATAAATAAGTAAATAAGTAAAACAACAGTCCTACTCTTCCCCCCCCCCTTTGGAAAATGTACTGAGTTTTTTTTTTAAAATACATTGTTAGGGCCGGGGAGATGGCTCAGTGAAATAAGTGCTTCCCTGGCAAGCACAAGGGACAGAGTTCAATCCCCTGTTCCACAAAAAATAAATAAATAAATAAAAATAAAAAATACATTGTTGTAGAACATATAATGGGTTACTTTATAAAATAATGAATATCTTTAATATTTCTCAGTTTTAATTTCCAATGCAGACTGGGTGTGGTGAAGAATGCCTGTAATTGCAGCATTCAGGAGTTGGAGGCTGGAGGACTGCTGAAAGTTTGAGTCCAGCCTGGGTTCACAGTAAGTTCAGGGGCAGCCTGAACTATACAGTGAAGCTCTGACTTAAAAAAACCAAAACCCAAACAAAACATTGTACATGTGCATTGCTTGTATTTAATAATGAACAATTAAAAGTACAATTACACTTTGTGGGGTGTTTACTGAGACTTGAACCCAGGACCGTCACTGGGATATATCTGCAATCTTTGTCTGCGTGTTCATTTTTGAGACAGGCTCACTAAATTACTAACTTGTCTAGGCTGGGCTTGAATTTGCAATCTTCCTGCCTCAGCTTCCCAAGATGCTGAGATTACAGTCATGCACTACCACACCCAGCTAAATTACTTCTTTTCTGCTGCTGAGGATTGCATGCAGGACCTTTGCATTGAGCTATATATCTCTAGCTCTTTTCTTCTTTTTTATTTTGAGCTAGAGTTTTGCTAAGTCACTAAATTGCCCAAGTACAAGTTCAAATTTGTGATTCTCCTGCCTCGGCCTCCCAGTATGGTGAGATTACAAGCATGCACCACCAGGCCTGGCTCTAAATTACTTTTAATGAGTATGTAATTTTAATAGACAGGGCTGGTGAGATGGCTCAGTGGTCTAAAGCACCTACTTAGAACAAGCTTAGAACATTAGCAAAGCACAGGGACCATGGTTCAATCCCCCAGCACCGCTGGCGCCACACACACACACACACACACACACACACACACACACACACACACACACACACGCCTTGCTCTCTTTGGGGGAGAGCCTATCCCGCTCCTCGCGAGACCACGCCCCTAACGTCACTTCCGGTCGCCCTGCTTTCCCAGTACACCTTCTGGCTCCCCCCTTCCCCTGCTTCCGGTCGTCGTCGCCGCTGCTGCTGCTTCTAGTGCTGCTACTGGGGCTGGTGGCGGAGGTCTGAGAGCCGGGCGGCGGCGGCGGCGGCGGCCGAGAGGGCGGCGGCGGGAGGCCAGGAGCAGGACGAGGGAGCAAGAGGAGGCGAGCGGGAGCGAGCGGCGCACCCTTCCGCCCTCCTGAGGTGCCGGCGCGGGCCTCGGGCGGCGGCGGCGGCGGCGGCGGCTCCTCCTGGCGGCTCCTCCTGGCGGCTGCGGCGCCCTCTCCTAGCGAGGCGGCTCTAGCAGGAGCTCGGCGAGCCCAAGTCCATCCCCGCTGCCCTCCCACACAACAAAGATCTGCCGGGAAAAAAAAGAGGAGGGACGGCGGCGGCGGCGGCGGCGGCGGCGGGCGGCTC